ATGGACAATTTACTATCGATAGGGCCAATAAAAAGTTTTTTGATATTTTGTGGGTTAGACGGTTTTATCACCAGGCCGACGATATGCTGGTCTAGAAATAACTGTGCCTGAACTGCAACAGGGAACTGCTGCTTTTTCTTTCCTCATCGTCATTTCTCCTCTAATTCTTTTGTATGTGTGACCCGCTATTTCTGGGGTGCCTTGATAGTCGAAGCACACTTTGTGCTGTTGAAGCTAGAGAGGTGAGCAGAGTAAGTCTGATTCCCTGTAAGGATTTCTCAGTTGACATCCACCCCTTGGCGCTCATATGACCTTATGCAATTGCGAGTGTCGTAAAACCTCTACTAAAACTAACTAGAAAAAATGCAAATGTCTCTGTGAGATATCTAATAAGACATTTCATAACATGAAAGTGGTCAACAGCAAGCTTGTTTCTGACCTTGTTGCTGTTGAGTACAATGTGGAAAGTCGCAACATTATAAGTCTCGCTGTCAGAAAACAGATTTATAGTACAGCTTGTCTAACACTAAAATCTCATAGTTCCTTGTGAAAAACTTTGATTTCATTTACGTTCAGTCTTGAGAATGTAAACATATGACAATCCTGATTTATTTTTTTTAAGCAATATTTTTCTCAATGTTATATGTTGATATAAAACGGCACTCCTCCCCAGGACAGGTGGCCTTTTTCTGCCTATCCGAAGTTGAAAATAAGCACATTTACAGTTCCTGAACATTTTTCAATATAGTTTTTTTTTTTAATTTAGTCAAGTCCAAAATACCAAAACATCATTTTAATCACATGAGAAATTTTCTAAAGAGAAATTATTGTGAGAGCTTCATATATTTGTAATAAATACAAACTGGCATAAGATTACTGGTAAAAGTTTGATAAAAATGGATGCAGCCAATCAAAAGTTATCTGAAAAACCCCCCAACAAAAAAACGACGTTTGTTTTCCATAAGCTTTAATAGTAAACAAAACTCAGAATACTTAATTAAGAACCCAACTGCTCAAGCCCTGCCTGTATAAAAAAATATTAAAAACAGATGGGTGGGGATGACTTTACTTAACTAATGTAACAAAATCAGGAACATTTCACAATTCTACTGCTCAGGAACCAGGACTTTCTGAAACAGTGACTGGCCAGGAAAAAAAATTGCTCTTACCTATCTGTGGCTGTCTGTCTATGAGTTGCCAAATGCGATGGCTTGCAGCAATGCCTCGGTTCACTTCAGTATAAAAACTGGTCAGACCTGGAGGGAGATGAAAACTTTTGAAAACACATGACTCATGGACAAACAAACCTTGGAAAAGGCAATGCACAAGAATATTCCTTACGTCACCCAGGTGGGAATGAGTACCTGGCTATGTAAACAATAAAACTTTAGGAAAGGCACATTTTCCTTGAGGTTTACCCAATGGGCTAGATCTACTAAAGAAAACGACCATTAGGATTTCAATAAAACCTCTGCTGTTTTTTTAATAAAAAAAAGTATATGAAGTGAAAGGAGATGGCATAACACAGCATCCTACCCCCCATGGAGACTCCCACGTAGGCTGCATAGAGTAAAAACGCTGAAAGGTCTCCGACTGTGATGCTGGAGTCCAACATCATGAGACCACCGAAGTAGAACACGGAGATGATAATCACATTCCCAGAAAATCCAGTCTGTTGGCAAAAAAACAAAACAACAGACATTGCACATTTTATGTGAGGATCATGGTACTGAACAAAGTAGGCGCGTTGGGGCAAGTTAACTTTCAATTGTCTGATTCCTTTAGGACAGACAAATGAAGCGGCTTTATACAATTTGTATGCCTCTGTGCTTGCTATTCCAAGACAAATCTCTACAAAGGATTAAATAGTGGTCTTTTCTTCTTTCTTTCTTTAGCATAGGACTGAGAAGAACACACAAGACTTCCGAGAAGCAAATTAATTGTGGAACTTAAGACAGAAACTCACAAAGCCCCAGAATATGGCACGGGCCCAAGACTCTTTATACGACAGCTGTAGAACTTGCTCCACTCCTTGCCTGTACACCTCACTCTCTCTGTTCTCCTGTGCAAAGGCTCGAACAGTGCGAATGTTGGCAATCCTCTCCTCTGCTAACTGTGAAGATTAGAATTTAGAAAACTAAATCAATCCTCAGTCATTTATGACAGTATGAAAAGCATAAGACTATATGACTTAAAAGATAAATTTAAAAATGAGACAAAAATAGACTCGTATGAAGTCATGTTGAAGAAGATCAGGGTGAAAGAGATAGGAAAGGAGGAAGAGAGAAGGGACAACATAACAGAGAAAGAAAGAACATTTTAAAAAATTTCCAATTCCATAGTAAACTACAAATATAGAAGACACTACAACAGCTTCAAGAACCTGCTACTATAAAGCTCATTAACATTATCCTTAACCAAAAATTCTAAGTTACACATTTGTTATTTCATATTTAAGGATATAGAGCCACAGGAATGTGGGCGCTCGAAAAGTGATCTTTATTATTATCATTACTGCATGAAAAACATGCACACCACTTTTTCCCGTATATCAAAACATAACATATCTCTGGTTGATAGAAAAGTTGTTGAACTGCAGCGTATGACCAGTCAGCGCAAAAAATGGCTGCATTTCACAAAGAACAGTGGAGGATAAAACTAACGATGAAAATAAGTAGAAAATATAAACCACATCCGCACACCCATCAACCACCCAACTTAAGCTAAAAGTATGAAGAAATGATTCTTTAGTTATAGTTGAACCTGCTCTAACAATCACATGATGTTCAAGACAATCACATGCTAAAATCACCACTTCCCATTCCTCCCCGTCATATTTCTTAAAATATCATTAATGGCACTATCCAACAGGACCCCCTATCTAATACTGACCACTTTTCTTTTTGACAATGGACTGTTGTTTTGGACAGGTTTGGCGGTATTTTTTAGGCACATAAAAAGACAAAATATATCTCAGTAAGAGAACAAAAAAAGGTTCTGTAAGCTACTTCCGTCAGCCATAGACCAAACACACTTCCAGGGCCTTTATTTTTCCAATCAGTCCACCCCATAGGAACTCAGCTGCATCATAGTCTTGTTTGTTTGCTTGAGTAAAAAGAAGCCCATCCACCCGATAACAATGATTTAGTGCTGGAGAAAAGAAGAGGGGGGGAGAGTAGAGATGGACATGTTCCGACTGTAGTGACCCCAAGACTGAGGACAAGGTGTGAGAAGGTGAGGAGAAAAAGTAAGACATCAGAAAAACAGAAACAATAAAGGGAAAGAAAAGAAATTGGGACTACCATTTGGGCACTACAATTACCCACACAACGTATTAACGAGTAAGTAAAGAGAAGAACATTGGTAAAATGATGGTCATTTGGTGCAGAAAAAAAGTAAACCAGACAAACACAACAAAGGGAAAGAAAAGAGGTAAGACCTACCAGTAACACTCTCTAACCACCCACCACAGACAGAGACAATAGAGGACAAAAAAGGAGTAGAGCCTACCAGCTGTGCTCTCCAAACACCAAAAGAACTGGGCCAAAATGGGATAAAACTCACCTGAGTGGCATTAGCCAGCGAGTCCTGCACCTGCCGCGTCACTTTCCTCAAGTAGCGGCCATACACAATGGAACCAAGAGCCACAGGTGGCACTATGCACATGGAGATCAGAGTCAGTTTGGTCGACATATAAGTCTGAAGGCAGAAAGCATTTTTACAATGAAAATAATGAGGGCCACTAATAAAGTTAAGAAAAAAGTAATTAACAGCATTAACTGGAGCACATAAAACACAAGCACACTTTTTGGATAAAGCATTTAGAACCTCTTGTGATGAATCTCTTACATTGTTCTCATACACTATCAATATTAATTTCAATGCGAATGATACCTATAGGCAAAGTGTTTTTATGGGCAGAAAAATCCGGTAAATAAATCCATATCAGCCATATATCATACATTGATGACTATGCAGTAGTGGAGTTTAAAAATTGATCAACCAATAAAAATTGCATTAAAGAAAAGCTTAAATATTGACTCTTTAAAACTTAAGGTCATTGCAATGCTTTTAAAGCCAACCTTTGGAGAAATAGCAAATGTGTATAAAATATCATCATGACTAGATGGATAGCACACATGCGGTGTTCATCATTGAAGTAACAAAGAAAGTAAAAATCACAGACAGATGCCACATGTAAACAGCCAAGAGAACTTCTAAAATCATTTTTTGAGTCAAAGACATCCAGACAACAACATATCATTTAAAGCAGATATAGATGGAAAAAAGTGTGTGTGAGGAGTAAGAATAAACTTAAGGACAAACAGACAAACAGAAGAACAGATGAGAAGAGAGGAAATTATTACAGGAAGAAGAAGAGAAATGAGGACCACAGAAAAGGGAGAACATAATATAAGAAAACGGAAAGCAGACAGAAAGAGACTTTAGCTGTAAAAAGAAGACAACAAGGTCAAACTCACCATCATGCCTATACCAGCACATGCCTGAAATGTTGACCTCAATCCGTCCGATATATTCTGCGACAAAGACTGGGCCACCACTGTAGTGTCTGTAGAAAGTCTGTTCACCAACTCGCCTGTTTTTGTCTTATCAAAAAACGCCATTTCCTGGCGTATAATTCTCGAGAACAGATTTTCTCTCAACTGCTTAACCATACGCTGGCTAGAGGTCTGTAGGATGTAGACACGGCCAAAGTTTGCAAGGCCTCCAAGAATAAACACTCCCAGCAGGACAGCACAAACGGCGTTGAGATTGTTCATCATCACAGATTTGTCTGACGTGTAGATGAGGTCAATGATTTTCCCAATGTAGAAAGGCACAGACATGGCAACACCGCTGGAGACCACCAAACATCCCATGGCAGCTGGGGATTACACGAGATTTTTTCGATTATGCCCGGCTGGCAGGCGTGTGTGTCTGTGTGTGTGTTTGTGTATGTATATATATGTGTGTGTGTGTGAGTGTGTGTGTGTGTGTGTGTGTGTGTGTGTGTGACAGATGAATACGAGAAAGAGTGTGCATCAGTTTGAGTGTACGAGAAAGTGTATGAAGGTTAGGTACATGTCCATACGACATCACAACTAAAAAAGAAGAGTGATAAAGTATGGATTGCTGAAAATGTAATCTATTCAAAAGTATGAACACCTATCAATTGCTTAAAATGTAATCTATTCAAAATAAAATCAAATGCAGAATCTTTTAGTAGGTCTAAAAAGATCTGCATACAGTACTTCGTCTTTGCACATTATAGATAGTGCTAAGTATAAAGCCAAATTTCCATTACCAACCCACCTGCCAACTTCCACTTCTCTGGACGAGCTAGACTAAGGAGTCGTTTGACATCAACCTTCTTTGGTGCGGACTGTGACAGTTTCGAGGATGACTTCTCTAGAGTGGAAGACGTTTTCTGGACACTCTGATTTCCTACATTCATCTTGTTGGCATGCCTTAGGCATGAAGATGCAAAAACTCTTCGACTGAATAGGAGAGGCTTGTGAGATAGTGTGTTAGGCAAACTGGACACTAACGTACGATGATAGCTTGCACATCGAAGGCTAGGGGATACCACATGAATTGAACGTGTCAAATTTCCTTTCAGAAGAAAAGCTCCTGGAATATGAGCATCTCTGCAAAGCTGTTGCACAAAATGTGAGGAGACACGAAGGCTGTTCTGAGAAGATGCTGCCCGACTGACACATCGCAGCACAGTTTCGTTGAGTCCTGCTAACAATGCCATCTTCACACAGTAGTTCTTTCATCAATACAGGTGAGAGTTGACGTGTTGAAAACCCAGTCCTGTGCCTTATGATGCCACAGAATTCATACTTCTCCAGTGGTGTGTAGCAGACATTGGTTCATGGTCACATCTGAAAAAACAACCACAACAAATCTACATGAGATGAACCCATCATTTCCAATAATTCATGTTTTTCTGTTATACTTATACAGTGTGCATAAGGCCAATCAAATTCATGTGCGTAATGGAATGTTTGCACCCTGTATGAAGCAGTTAAAGAGAGCTCAAGTGTCACAAGAGATGAAGAGATACAGGCTGCACATACTAGGAGTCAGTGAAACCCATTGAACACAGTCTGGACAAAAGCAGTTCAGCTTGGGGGAACAAATATTGTATTCTGGAAAGGAAGATGAGCACCAAGCAGAAGGAGTTGGAATCCTTTTGAGTAAGTATTCCAAGAGGTCACTTAGACGATGGGAAATATAAGGGGAGAATACCATCACGGCTTCATTCACATGGAGTAAGGTCATCAACATGAATATAGTCCAGATCTACGCCGCAACAAATGATGCTTTTGATGAAGACAAGGATGCCTTTCATGAATTCACAGCCTGCTCCAGGGGGTCATTGACAAACTACCAAGGAAGGATGTCAACATCATAATGGGAGATGCAGGTGCCAAGATTAGTCAGGACAACGTTTGTTATGAGGGAATTATGTGACAAATGAATGAGAACGGTGAGTGATTTACAAATATTTGTGCTTTCAATAGTTTGTTATTGGAGGAGACTCTATATTTCACCCACAAGAAGATCTACAAGGCTACCTGATATCACCAGATGGAGCGACCGAGAACCAGATCGATCATTTTCCTATCTCTCATAGATTCAGACGTTCAGCAGAAGATATTATAGTACAGAGAGGGGCAGACATTGGATCAGATCATCATCTGCTGTTAGCAAAACTCAAGCTTCGTCTCCTAAAAGCACGGAACCAGAACAAGAACCAAAAGAACAAAGTTCCAAGTAACTCTCTTAGACAGACACAAGAAAGAGGTGTTTCAGCTGCAGTTGAGGAAGAGATTTCAACCTCCTGCCGATCTTTGTAGGGAGGATATGGAACGGGAGATGCACTCGACAAAGGTTAAAGAAGTCTTACTTCAGCATGTCAAAAAGTACTCAGTGAGAAGAAATTGGAGCATGAGGAATGGATTAGCCAACACTTATGAGATTTGATTAGGAGTAGAAGACAACTGAAGGCAGAGTTGAATGCAAGTAGAACAAGGGGATCAAGAATAGATGCACTGGAACAGTACAGGACAACAGCTAAAGATCATCATCATCATCCAGTGCCAGATCTGCGACAGACATCGGCGATCATGGTTCTCCATTCATTCCTTTGCTCGGATGCTCTTAAAAAAGCTACGTTTCCCTGATCTTTCCCCTTTACCCATTTGTTTAGGTTCCCTAAGTAGGTTGCTCTGGGCCTATCCTTGCCTTGTATGCCTTCGATTTTGTCAGTGAGAGCAAGATGTTCAAGACCTTTATAATGTCTATTCATGTGTCCCAAAAACTGCATTTGTTTTTTCCTGATTGTTTTTAACAGTGAGGGTCTTACGTGGGCCTCATCAAGCACTACCTCATTTGACTTCTCTTCCTTCCACGATATTCTCAACATTCTCCTAAGAAACCACATTTCTGTTGCTTCTATTTTATTTTCAGTGTCTTTACTGATTGTCCAGCATTCACAGCCATATAGAAGGGTTGACCATACTACATAGCATTTCAGAACTTTCATTTTGGCAGTCAAGAGATGTTTGTATTTTTCAGGATTGGGCTCATTCCATAACAAGCCTTAGCCATTGCAATTCTCAGTTTTATTTCTGAGGAACATTTGGCATCAGATGTTATTGAAGGAGGAGGAGGAGGAGGAGGAGGAAGGGGAGGAGGAGGAGGAGGAGGAGGAGGAGGAGGAGGAGGAGGAGGAAGAAGAAGAAAAAGAAGAAGGAACAAGAAGAAGAAGAAGAACAAAAAGAACAAGAACAAGAACAAGAAGAACAAGAAGAAGAACAAGATATTTAGTAGCAGCAATGACAATGAAAAATTAAATTTTCATCCCAATTGCTTTAAAATGGGCTTAAATGAAAATACAGTAAATTCTAAGAACTGTGGTTTTTAAATTTTAAAAATCCATTGATAAATAAAAAAGTTATTGGGATTTTTATTTGCAAAATGTTGGAGGACCTTCATGATATGAAAATATCGCCAAAATGTGGGACATGTCTTGATGTATTTTGAGGAAAAACTGTTCATAAGTCAGTAATGAATAGGAGCATATGAATGAAACTTGGCATCTTCTTGTGATTTTTAGTGCAGAATCTAGTTCTGCTATCACTTTTTCGATACTTTGGATCTTAAAGACTGATATTTGCGTGAAATTTGTTGAATTGTGTGACATCGTTTTTACCGTGATGCGATCTCCCTTCTAAAAACGCTATATCGAGAAAACCCGCGATGAAGTCATCGGTGACCTATTAGTTATAGGCAGCCAATCACATGCCGCCTTGCGATCACGCGCCTCTTGCATGCCGGCACCTCGCGTTGGGAATGCGTGATCTAGTTTTCAGCTCTAGTGTTTTATCAATGGATGGGCGGTAATTTTAAGTTGGTGTACGTAAAATGTACAAAATGCAGAGATCTGAAATTTCTTAGCAATAAAGAAGACATATGTGGGGCGCCTATGTCGTCAGCGATCAATAAGCAGCTCCACTTAGTTTTCGAACCCCAGAGGAAATTCGCACAAACACGGCACAAACTCCGGTTCTAGAACTCGTTCGGGATTGTACGCTGGCATGTCGTTAGTTTAACCATTCCTCTGATTGGTTGCCACGTTTCATTTATTCTCGTCTACGAGTTTTCCCGTAGCTATACTTAGAAGAGAGTCACTTCTGATTCCGAGCGGCCCAAAAATGACCCCTCGCGCGGAGGCCGATTTCTGACCCAAGGCGCAGCTGAAAAATATGGGAAACCAGAAGTGCGGCAGAAGTACCAGTAAAAGACCAGGAGTGTAAAAAACATTTTTTGGAAAGAAAGCCCAGTTGGAATGATGGGTAGAGCATTTCAACAGTCTAAATGAGAACAGACCACCACAAAGTAACCCACCAAAGATCCTGCCAGCAAGAAATGAGTTACCAATCTGCTGTGATGTTCCTTCGGACTTCAGAACAAGAGATTCTGGATGCCATTTTTCTACTGAACATAGACATAGATCTAATCTAGGTAAAGCGACTGGTCCTGATCAGACTCCACAAGTGTAAGAAGTAGAAGCCCTATATTAAAACTAAGGCCGTCGTTATTCGGACTCGAGTCCGAATAACATTTTTTCATATTCGGACTCGAGTCCGAATAAAAAAAATTCTTATTCGGACCGAATATATGAAAAAATGTTATTCGGACTCGGGTCCGGAAAAAAGGAAGTGTCTTCGTTCTATAGTTCTAACGTTCAGTGCTTCCAATTTCCCGCCATTTTTTAGTCCCCCCCCCCCCCCCACACACCTTTTCTGCCGATCCGATGCCCGCCGCCTCATTGATACGCCCCCCCTCCCCCACGTTTCCCACTTTCTTTGTTGTAGAAAAAGGTGAAATTGAAGATTAGCAGACCACCTGGCACCTGCATTTTATGAGCTGTTTATCCAGAAAAAGTTGTGTTGCTGTGTAGAGCTGAGCATACGGCAACTTTTGCTTCCATAGACCAGCGCATAATTCATTACGTAGATCTACGTCAAGAAGACTAGCTTATTATTGTAATAATGATCAGTTGCCGGGGGAGAAAAGACTGACGCGTATGCGACGTTCAACGCCCGGACCGATAGTGCCCCCCCCCTCCCTGACACGCACACAGCCACACGTGTGCAGGCTGCCTATCCGACCCCGACACACGCTAACGAGCCATCTTTAATTAATTGCTTCTGATGACCTCTTGACAAATAAACATTTATTAGAAGCGCTATAACTTATCAGGCCGGCCTCAAATTCATCATAAGATTAAAACTCGGCTCCTGCACAAAACGCCTTTTTGCCCAAAGTCAAAGTGATCCCGGTCTCTACCCAGCCTCAGGCGAGTCACGAGTGAGGCAGGACAGAACGCCGGAGTCACGAGTCACAGGAAGTTGGAAATGATGTCATGCTGGACAAGAATCAGAGTCCGAATAACATTTTTTCATATTCGGACTCGAGTCCGACAAAAACAAGATGCCAGCAGTGTTTTGACAGGCCTTTACTAAGATCTGGCATGAGAGCAAGTTCCCAAAGGATTGGAAAGAAGGGCACCTTGTGAAGTTTCCTAAAAAGGGGAGGACTTCCGTACAGAGCGACCACTATGACACAGAGCAGAATTGAGGGCTTGGGGTAAGGGTAGGGGTAAGGGTAGGGTTAGGGGTAGGGGTAGGGTTAGGGTAGCCTTACGGTAAGGGTTAGGGTAAGGGTTAGGGTTAGGTCTAGGCCTCTTTGTTGTGTTTGATGGGGTGGTCGCTCGTTACGGAAATCCTTCCCTAAAAAGGGAGATCTCAGCTACTGCAGGAATTACAAGTGGATCAGTACACACGTACCAAATGGCCAGTTCCTTCCTCGATCACTTCTTGGCTTTCGGTGACATAACATAGGGCGCAGCCATATTTAAAACCACTGACGATTGCATTTCCTCCTACATCAAAGAAAGGTTTCTATTTATTTTAGGCCAAGTTATCATGTTACAAACTAAATGTTTTTTCCAATGAAAAAGTTTTGATTTCGTGTACTTTTGGGCGATAATATAGGCTATAGTTCGTGGTGGATGGTTTTGTTTTAGTTCATGAAATATAGGCTCATGCATACTTGATATTATTGTTCAACTTTACTAATCAATTTTTAATATACCTCATTGATCAATTTGCTCTATTAAAATTGACATGGGGCCAATTAAAAACCTTTTCCCTTGTTTAGAAGAAATGTCCTTTTTTTGTAAAAACATCTTTATCTCTCTAAATATTTAGTAATCAGAGAGTCAACTGAAATATTTGAAACCATGCTTTACATTCAAACGAGCATTGATAATATTGAAATTTTTCGTAGGCCTAAACAAGAGATCATTTTAAAAGGGGCTCGTCTACCCTACGTTCCCTTACATGTTATAGAACACAGCACGTACACGTAAAAAAATAACCCCATCCCTTTCCCTATTTTTTTTTTTCACTCACGTTGTCTTGTTCTACCGTTGTCAATTCACGTCACACAACGATATAGGATACAAGGGGTCTTACTCGTTAAATAACTGATAGTTTTCAGTCCCCTTCGAGTATGAAAATAGCTTAGGTCTCTAGCCTACATGATGGAATCTAGGCCTATACACGATGCAAACTTCGTAAAAATACCATAGGCCTACTTCTGTTGCAATCTTCAAAATCCAGAAAAAAGAGTCATCCGCGAGATCCATTCAGGGTTGATTTAAACTGGTTCCAAATTCGATATTATACATTTTTCAACATAGGAGAGACGTTAGGCGACTTTTTTTTTAACCCCGCGTCTCGCCGACGGCGATTGATCGTCCATAAAACGCATTATTATAAGGCCTTGCATGATTGTGTAGCCTCAAGTAAAACTCACTCTGCTGGGACGGGAGCATGTTATGTTCTCTCAGCTCTATAATATAGAGCATATTACTATGTTCCCTCAAGTAAAGTTACATGCTATGTCATGTCATAATGCCATGTCATATCATACCCTGTGCCATGACATCAAATGTCGTACCATAGTACATGATGTAAATACCTCTTGATCTGAGGGAACATAGAGGTGAGGGAACATATATATATAGAGCTAATTCTCCTAACAAACCCCTCCATTATGTTCCCTAATTTCAAGTCACACGATGACCAGAGGTCAACTTATGGTCACAGTGACCTGCAGTGGTCAAGCAATGGTTAAACTGACCAGTGGTCAAGCAATGGTTAAACTGACCAGTGGCCATGAAGCAATGGTTAAACTGACCAGAGGTCATGAAGCAATGGTTAAACTGACCAGTGGTCAAGCGTGAGTTTTTAATGAAAATGACGTGTGTGTGTGTGTGTGTGTGTGTGTGTGTGTGTGTGTGTGTGTGTGTGTG